GCAATCTAAATTACTCTTAATAAATAATCTTGTCTTTATTGATGATACTGTATGAATATCAAATAATTATCAATCTATACAACAAATTCTTAATATTACTTCACAATTTTATCAAATGTGTAATATTGAAATTAACCAAAAAAAACAAAAGCAATTTATTACAAACTAATTGAACTACAATCTGGTATAGAGCTTTATATTGATTTAACTTACAATCTTATTCAAATACTATCACTAGGCATATGTATCAAATACTTAGGACTCTACATCAATACAAACAGAAGTTTCAGCACTCAAATTAATAAAATTAGGACAAAAGCAAACTATATTTCAAATCTTTTAGATCACAAAAATATAATTGATAAATAAACTGTTTATATTTTTAACTAGATCTTTATTCCTACCTTCAAATACTAATTCCAACTATTTGTTATATTCAATACTGAATGTGAAAAACTTATATAGCTATTTAAAAGAGTTCTTAAAATTAAAACCAAATTTCTATCATCATTTCCAAACTCTGTACTTCATCACTTAAATTTCTTGGTACTCAACCATCTGTGGAATATTCAAAGCTAAGCAAAGATAACTGAATTATATTATCATCTCAATAATATTATATTGCTGGTCCTCGTTACTTACATTAGATTTCAAAGTCTTCAAGAATAATGCTGACTTCATTATTCAGTGCTAACTTATTCAACTCCTAAATTGTCTGCACTAGATCATAACTTAATTGTATCAATTCTTTTACTTATATATGAAAGAAACATATTCTTTATTTTTTCATACAATAACAACACTCTATATTAAGATAACAATATATAATGATCAATTGAAAATTTTATTTATCCATGATTTGCATACAAAAAATGCAGAGATATAATTCAAAAAAACTGAGTTACTTTTCTTCAACAACTAACCAGTTACAATAAAACTCACCTCATTACATGATAACAATACAAAATATGTCTTTATATCAATAAATATGGATCCAAATCAGCATGATTCAAGCAGTTGGAATTCAAAGTTCATGCAAATTAGTTAACAAAATAGATTTTTAATATATTAGCTTTTTCTAATTGGAACTATTACCAGTCTTAACTCACTTCAAATCAAATAACTCCAACACTTATCACTGACAAATAGCAATCAATAAAATATTAATACACATTAATTTAAATATTTATTCTGATAGATCTATTCAAGACATGTACACTAATCATGTCAAATCTAGCTCCGCTTGAATCACATAATTACTAAATATTCAGTTTACTCATATAAACTCACACACTACTTATATCACTTTAACTGAAATTCAAGCTATCAATATGCTTATTGATATAGTACCCAATGATATTATTCTCAATATTTATACAGATAGTTAAGCAATAATTGATGAATACAATGCTAATATAATAAATCAGAGTGCCACAAGCACTAGATGCTTGCTACAAAAAAGCAACTGGGATTTGTGAAAAATTATTTATCACAATATCAATAAGAAAAACTTGCACATAACTTTATACAAGATAGTTGATTATTTTAATTATCCTGATTAAGGATGCTTGTCTAAATTCTTTCAAAAAAATATCATCATAATTTTGACGGGTTACACACTAATTGTTAATTAGAATTTTGACATAATTTCAGTTATAATGAGTTTCAAAACTCATCAGAATTTTGGTGAGCTATTTACTAATAGTTTATTATAATTTTGACAGAATTTCAGTGGTCACTAAGAGATTTCAGCAAGCAATCATAATGACTTGGTTGAATTCTTAGCAAAAACAGCAAATATTACTCACTTAATTTTAACAAATTTCAACACATTACTTTATACATGAATTCTACCAATATATAATTACAATTTGTTAATTATATCTAACCTTTGCAGTTTTTTTAAACTACAAGACAAAAAACACATTTTCTTTAGATGACAGATTCATATACTAAAAAATAATCTACTAAATCAAAATCTTTGGTACAATATAAACTGAAAAGCTATCAACTTGGTCTGAAATCAAGATAAAGATATTCAATCAATAATTACAAACAAAAGTATCTCCAAGTTCCATGCTTATTATATTAAGTTATTGCACAATTCACTTTCTACTCTAAGTAATATGCACAAATTTAAATCTGACTTATACCTACACAATATTTGTAATTAATGTCATCTTGTTTCTGAAATCAATGATTATCTTTGAATATGTTCAAGCTCTACAAACATAATTAATACTATCAAACATCAAGTCATAGCCAAAATCAAAAAACTCATCTTATCAAGTTATAGCATTACTCATTATCCATTCTTATTACAGGAAATTATAATAAATAATTTCTGCAAAAATTTATATATCTCAATAATGTATTATTATTCACAAATATAAATCGCAAATCTATATTTACTTATTTAAAGAATTTGTTACAAAAGAACTTATTGAGTTTTTTAAGTCACTCAACTTATCTTATACACAAGCATCAGAACTAGTAGTTAACTTTATCATTTGATTTGCTAAAAAAGAATTCAAAATAATTTGGTTCACTCATTGTAAGCAACAAATAAAAATTGAAAGAAACAATTCAATCTTTGCTAGATACAAGAAACACTCTAAAAAACATATCAGACATCCTCCTAATACGTCAATATCCATCTTTACAATAATATTTTTAGAATTCAAATGGAATCTAATCTCTGTATTTGCAAATTCTTCACCTTAGCTCATACGCATGACCAATATTCTGATAAAGATCTTGCAAATACTCAAGAAGACAATATTACTTCACTGGTTTACTTTGTACAGACAGAGAATGATTTATTTATTAATCCTATAGTTTTTAGTTAGTTGTGGACATGATTCAGATGGCTAGTCACATTGTAATTTTCTTGATTTTCTGGTGATTTTTCATCTTAATTTATAATTTGTAAATCTTACTTTGTAAGTTAAACTAGTCTTAAATTTAGAATATGACTACACTTTAGCATCAATAAAATAATAATTATTTAGAATAAAGAAGTATTTATTTGCTTGTTTTCAAGCTTTAAAAAGATAAATAATTAAAAAATATAAGATCTTTATTAAATATTCAATTTTAAAGTATTTGAACATGTCTTTTATTAAAAAAATATTCCTTTTATATATAAATTTCTTATAAATAATAATTAAATTATAATTATTTTATAAATATTTATATTATTTTTTTATTTACTTTTCTTTTTACTTATTATTTATTTTTATTACTTTTTACTTTTATTTTTATTTTAATTTCTTGAATTATAATCTTTTTTACTTATTTTTATAACAATATATATAATTAGAAATTGAGTATAATTATAATTATATAAATATATAATATAGTAAAATTATACAAATTATATAAAATATAAATATAAAAGTAAGTTTATTGATATACTTTATGATAAAATAATTATATCAGATAATTTTTTAATTTTATTTCTTTATTTTAATTTACTTTGTAAATAATATCAAAAAGTATATAAAAAATTATTAATATATTATCAAATATAGTATTATAAGAGTACTATTATCTTTTAAACCATCCAACAAGCAAATTTACCTATTAAAATTATTTTTGATCTGTTTTGTGTATTTACTTCTAATTTTTATAAGCTTAACTCTCTCTTTTTCTAAGCTAAAATAAAAGTATAACATATTTTTAATTAATATAATTTAAAATTTGTAATTTTTATTTATAAATTGCTCAAAATATTTGATTCATTTTGTAATTAACTCTGTAATTTTATTATAAAATTTATGTTTTCAGAAAGAAAAAATTTTTTGTCAATAATTAAAAATAAAATTTTATTAGTAAATTATAACTGCATGATTACATTCGCATTAACTCATTTCTGCTTTATACTTTATATACATTAAATTTTTTTAGCATTCACTAATACATTATCCACCTTCTATATTGCTTCAACTCAATTCCTTATGGCATCGAGCTTACAACCTTCCCCAAACTAACACATTAAATTTTGACTACACTTCCTTCAGAGCAGTCTTGAGCTTGTTCACAGTTTTTGAAAAGGTTTACACCTTATAATATTGTTCTACAATGGTTTCTAGATGCTTTCTATGAAGCCAGGTCTGGGAGAATACGTTAATTGGTTCATAATCATTAATATTCTTCTCTTTAACCTATTTCATGAGCTTTTTAGGGTTATGCTGAAACGCCATATTTTTTCAAATTAATGAACATAATAGAAAAAGGATGAAATTACCTTAAAGAATCTTCGGGTAACTCTTTTTGTTGACAATGGCTTAGGTTGGTTTTTGTTAACTTCTTGTAAATATGTATTTTTTTTGCTTGTTAAGAGCTTACGATCTTCCAGACCCTTGTGAATTTTCTTTTTTCTTATTTTTCTTGTATTCGGCAAGAGACATTATTCCGTCATCGGGTCACAGCTCATTTTTCTTGCAACTTCCACGGCACTCAAAACCCCAATAAAAATTACCATTTTATCCTCGTCAAAGTCGGTCAATTGGAGGTGAAGTGCGTTATATTTACAGCCAACAAATTTCGCCCAGTGTATGTTTAAAGTCAAAGAAAGAAATAAAGAAAATTTGCAGTCAATAATAACAAAAAGGGGAAAATGCCACGTTTAAATTTATGTTGATGTTGCACATCCAAATCGGGCGTTACTTTATGTGACGACTGTACGGGAGATCACGATTATACATAAAATTGTCTTCCCGACATTTTTTAATAGCGTGCCAAGCTAGATTTAGATATCTGTTTTTTGTATTTTTCGCATTTTTTGTCTGTTTTATTTTCTTGTGTCGGATTTGTTTTGCCGGGTTGTTCAAAAATTTGCTACATTCCTATTGGTTGCGCGCATTCTTATTGGTTGGATCTGATCACCATACGTATTTATATCGATATGTCATAAATCAGGCGTAATTTTCATTTATATTTTTATTGGTATAATAGATATAATAGAATACTATTTGATAAACTTGCTCTTTTCTATCATGCCCGTCCTCATTGTTAGTCCCGACACAGTTTGGGTCGACCAGCACGGTATCGCCGCCTATAACGCCGTCATGGACCACTTTGCCACCCACGGACTTGCCCCGAATCAACGCAGGGACGAAAACTCGCGTTGCATTTTCCATTTTAGGACAAAAGCTGAGCTCTACACAGTGCGTGATGCTATCCATAATCTCGCTCCTAATGCCTTCTGCATTCCGCCCTCCCTCCGTGCTCAGCATCCCAATGCTCAACAGGTACCCGTGGGGATAGCGTGGATTGTTTCGAAAGTGGGAGTGCGCGACAGCGATTTCGGAGAAGATGTTAATTTCTTTCATATTTGAGGTGATTATGTTGGTCAAGATGAAATGTAGGGTGTATTAATTTTCCGAGTCCGTACGTACAACATATTCACAGATAATATGCAAGTGTAATTTCTCATTTAGCAAGTAATTGTTAATATAAAAATACTTTCTGCTAGTGTCATAATATTGATAATCAATTAGATAACAAAGACGCAGATTTTATGCGACTTAAAGGGATATTGGTTATGTATATGTTTGATATACGCATACGTATATGAGCACATTACCCGGAATTCCTGGTGTAATAGTTTCTATTCTACATGCATCTCAGAATAATAAAAATGCTAATCTATTAATCTACTACTCCTTTTCAATATTCCCAAAATTTCACTAAGAGTTGTTTTGATGGGTGTATCTTTATTGAAAGGCCTTCTGTTGCTTACGGTAAATCAGTTGATATTAGTCTACAGCTGTGAGGGATTATAACCCAATCTGTTTTTTTCAAGAAAAATTCAATCCTACCTTACCCTTTTCTATAAATTCGACTCATCCGCCAGAGCACTCGAATAATTGTGGCATAATTTGCGAAATACCTTTACATTCAATTAGAATAGGAACTCGACTTCACGATTTCCCCAATTTCTGCTGCCGGAAATCCTTGACCAATCAAATTGAGGATCATTGTGAAACGCAAAAATTCAAAAACTATTATTTTTGAAGAATAGCAATGGTTGCCTAACAAAAAAATGTTCCTTGCGAACTTGCTATATAATTCTAACCCGAAACCCTAATTAATATTACGATCATGTAAGTGCCAAAAACGGCACCAAACGTCGGGGATCGGATTTTCCGGCAGCGAGAAGTTATCTGATCTAATCATCCTTAGGGAATTGATAATTTGTTTTGTTTCATAATATATTCGATGCATATGGGATAAAGTACATCATTCATATGGTACTTCTGTTAGTGCTTCATGTTCGCACAAGAATTATCGCGTATCAGAAAAATATATCTGTACTATGCGCTAATGATACAAACACAAAGTGAATTGCGTTTTCCGTTTGGTTATCAGGAAGCTGATTCATGATTTCATCGTTAACTGACCTCCGAGCCTTACGCTCCTTATTCGTTTTCTTATAAATGGTCAACTTATCCTGAGTTCTTGCTGAAATAATAATAGCATTTAATGACTTCTCGATTTGTGTTCTCATCTTCAGTTTAACGATCGCATGGGGTAAATCGAAGTTTTTTGTCAAAGTCGAATCTCTAGTTTCGAATAGCGGGTTATCAGTAATCAATTCTCTGACAAGTTTTTTAGCACGTTGGATTCCTTCTTGGCATGTTTCACTTTTTTACTGGAATGAAATATTGTAGAGATAGGTTCCGTAATATGCTTGGATAGTGAGGTGTTTCTGGTAATCGTGTCTATTGCATAAGTGGCCTCGGCATTATGTCGAATTCGTTATATTCTATACCTTTCATATTGCTTAATCTCCTAGTGAATTTTTTGCGATCTCATTCCGAGTCACACAAGTTACTCCGCCTTCATTTTCGATGTTCTTTCCAGCACAAACTCGATGAAGTGTGCGATCGCAAGATAATACGAAAATATTCTTGGATGATTTGATAGGATTTCACCATTGCATTCCGAGCGTGTTACAATTCAGAAATTTGGATACTACTATCGACAAAGGTGGTTCTGATTTTTTAAGAAAGTTTTGAGCAGATTTTTACGATGCGGATAGAGCATGGCAAAATCTTTACTATGCTTTTTTGCAATCGAGAAAGGCAATTGGTTGATTTTTAAAGCTAAGGTCTCGTAGAATGACCAGCCGATTCTTTTACTAAAAATACTGAAAGTCGAAAGAGATTAGCACGTATATTACCTCCACACACCTAACAGGATCTATAGAATATGGTATGGATAACTGAATGAGTATAATACAAGAAATATGTGACATGTCATAACGATAGATGTATTTATATTCCGAACTCATACCTTAACCCTTTTCCAATACGGGTTCTACGCTAATACGTATTGTCAGATCAAGCAAAGAAGTATGGTATGGATCAGAAAAGTGTTATTTGGTATGACAAGTATGCCATGCTTACTTCGGAAAAAGGTTTGGTATTGGTCCAGGATATAGAGTATAGTAAAAAACCGTTCCATACTTCTTTGCTTGATCTGACAATACGCATTACTGTAGGATCCTGTTGCCATTGGCTAGCAATAACCCCATTTAATAATTTCTCACGGTTATCCATACAGTTTGATTAGTCCATCTAATAATGATGTTGTGGCCGCGAGAAATGGAAAGGCATATATATTACTTTTATTTTGCTGGGATGTGTTATAAATCTGTGATAGCAAGCTTGTTGATGATACCACAGGCGAACTTGGAGAACTCACCAATACACAATCCACAAGAATATTTAGTATGATGGCATCTTGAACTATGATATTGTCGGAATGTGGCATTTCTAGCTCGCAATTCTCAAGACTTGTGTTTAGACGTTGAGTATCGACTAATATAATTGCTCTCCCTCTGTCTAGTTACTAATAAACTAACTCAACACGCGTTCATAATGAACTTCTCTTCTAATTTTTGGTTTGGTCAGGTCATCCCATGATAATCACGTATGACGTTTAAGAAATGACCGACGGAAATTTTGCATATTGATATCATGATCTTAAACTAATGATCGATTCAGAACATTCATTCAAATTAATTATCTTTCTTTTCCGTTATCATCTCATTCTTCTGGGAATTCTTACACAGTATAACGATTTAACAAACAAGGCAATTTAAGTTCCTCGTTATCAAACAACTTCCCTTTTCTTTGCATCAGATCGACTCGCCATCCCAAAGTAGATCAGGTACACACCAACATTATCATTAAGCAAAATATTTACTTTCAATATCGTTGTGAAGTACGCTATGATCGTGAATTACTTTTAGTACCTCAAGAGCCTTAATCCTTTGTCGTTATACTTTTATGATCACTTAACGTTGTACCAGCAAGGGTCGTACCAATAACAAACCACTTTCATAGTAGCCATAACACACTAATTTTGGAATGTATTTTCCTGAACATCAGCGAGAGCTTTATAGATTTCGACTTCCTTTTGCATTTCTTCCAAGATCTGTGGTGAGATCGGTAATCTTTAAGGCAATTATATCTCCACCGAATTCACATAGGAGTGTCTTACCACTTCCTTCGCCTAACATACACTTGACTTGAAGTCCACAAAGCGAAATTCTGCTAATTTTTTACCAAAATGTTGCTGATTTAACAATTGTTGTGCAAACTAACATGTCAACGTCTGAGCTGGATTGATCTTGGTGCGGCACTTGAATGAGAGGATGGCGAGAACAATAGTCGTATGTTGTCTGCAAAGCTATATATGCATAGGCTTTGAGTACTGGTGGATATTTCGATTGCAATGGAAGAGTTTTGAATTCCAAAGCTTCGTTGGTACATTCTTTGATCGGTGTAAAAACCAGTGATGTTCATAGGTGGCGAGTATACCGTATCGAAATTCATTTTCTTCCATGTAGTTATAAATTGTTGAATTACCATTCTTGCTTTATCATCCGATTCATAAAATTCTGGAAATGGTCGTAATGTGCTGGAAACTATTAAAGGTTGATTTAGGGTTAAAGTTAAGGTCAAAACTAGAGTTAGATTAAATTTTTCGTTTTCTTGTTTCGTATTTGTTTTTCCGGATTTGCGCATCACACATTTCTACGATAATAAATTTTTCACAATCGACTTGATCTAGTGATCTAACTATCCAAGTGAAAATCAAGTATTCAAAATATAATATATGTATCAAAATTCAACTATGTAAACTGTACTAGCACTTGCCTTTCAGGCGGAAGCATCCCCCGCTGGTCGGAGGCTCTGAACAACCCACCCTCACGCTGTGCAAAAGCCTGGAGGAGATGGCGATGGGAGACTTTTGTTTTTTTTTTGAAATAACGATAAGGATCGATAATAATATTGATCATTATCGTTATCGTTATTATTGGTATTAATACGTGCTTCCCTTGATGATCATGGATGAAAATTTATTTTATATTTGATTTATTAATTCAAGTCAAAGAACGATCACGTGTATATCTAAGCGCAAATCAAAAGCAGTAAATTACTGCGCACGACTTGTTTATAATATGGTCGTAAAGACATATATCACGTCACGAAAATTTCAATATTACGACGTGATGTGGACATGGATTTTCTTAAGGCCACATCTTACAACATCCTTGAGTTCCTAAAGGAAGCGATCAAGCTCGGAACCTCGTCATTAGTTGAAATTGCAAAGCATAGAGCAACCCACTGTCTCCATTGTCGCACAAAAAGGAGTCTAGACGGTTGATAAATATCTGCATGCAGAAATGCAAGAACAATCTCTGCTTCTATTTATAAACACCATCCCATAGCCATATATATAGCCCTCAGAAGCATCTGCGACAAAAAAATTACAACTGATCTACTGCAGCAGGCGTGCGCTAACAAGCTCATGTGTGACTGAAAACTAAGACAAATTGACTTACGAAAGGCAAAAGACCCTCCGTGAAAAAACCAAATGGGAGATTTTCTCGCTTGTCTACTAGATCCGGGTGTCTGCTCTTTTCTAGCTTTACATTCACCTACCCATTGTCACTGCGAGATAAACACCCAAAGATTCATACGTTTCAGCCTATCTCACAATCAGATCTGCTCGAAAGCGAAATTCTATGCGGAGTTCCCAGGCACGGATACACAATCATATCCGTAACCTCGTGGTCGAATACAACAAGAAGTTCACTCTGTTGCTTCTCCGAACATTTAACGTCCTCCTTTTAATGGTGGTTCGAAGATTACATCGCAAGATCAAAAGCTCTCAAAAACTGTTCAAAAGCAAAAAACGTCACAGATATCAATCTTCTGCAACTATTTTAGGCGATTCATATAAGGATTTGCAAAATTACTCAACCAAGCGCGGAAATTTTCATAACCTCCGGAATATACGTTAGCGAAATAATAGGGAGGAATAGGGGTTGGAAAGAGCTCCGTCTCATTCGAAATTGCCCAGATGCTCCATGAGATAGGATATCGTGTTGAAATATTCGAAGAAGAATCGAAACCAAAATATCGGCTTTAGCAGGAAGAAATAGCCATAGCCAGAAAAAGGAACAGACAAGTAAAAATGGCGCAGAAAGCAAAAGAAAAATTGTGATATTTAAACGAACGCCTGCCAGTGGACTGATCTTCGAAAATATGTATGAAAAGAAATCGTAAAAGTTTTCTTAAAAAGAAATGCCTCAAATACTATGAGTACTTTAAAGACGCGTTGGTAATTTGGATAAGAATAAGTGCAGAAACCAACAACAATATATCCAAAGAAGGGGTTGAAGAAAAGCATAGAGATTACGAAAAAACGAATATCTTCTTAATCTTGAAAATCATACGATGAAATAATGCATAACAACAAAGGACCTGAAATGATATCTTACGAAATATTCGAAGAAATACGAAAGCAACTCGGATGGCAAAAAATAATCTTGTCCTTTGCGTTCTTTACAACGAGAAAGGCAAGGGAAGTTGAAGATACTGACGGGACAGGATATCCGAAAAACAGTGATAATTATTCGGTTATCTATTAATGACATGATTATTAAGTATATTCAGCTAATAATACATGTATAATGCATCGCCAAAAAACAACCAATCAAATAAATTAAAATATATCGATATCGATATAATATTAGCAAGTATCAAACACAATGATAAAGCAATAATTATTAAAGCCACTTTCTCTATCACAATCAGCTGAAAGTGTCGGCATTTTTCAATCAAATTGAATTTTCTGTGATAAATAACAGTTCAAAACTAAGGTAAACGGATGACAGGCCACACAGGAAATAGACAAGTCACTAAATAAAAAAATGAAAGCCACAAAGATGAGCCACATAACCGATGGAAAGCTTATACATGTATTATATATACGTAGATGGTAGCCAAAAAATGCGAGGAGACCGAGAGGAGATTATTGGGAAATTGGACAAGGCAAGAAATTTTGGGCCTTCACGGATAACAAAGAAATTAGAAAGAGAATAGAAAATTTACTGCGAAACAGAGAAGTCGACAAGTCGGAATATGAATATGATAGTAATAAAACTCCAACCAGGGAAAATCTGTTTGGTATTACTGCGCAGTAATTCAATAGGTGGTAAAAAGCGGAAATTTAATTTAAAATCCTTTTTGTCTATATGCAGTAAAACATATGACAGAAACACCAATAACCCTAAACAGAAAAGACGGAACTTCGGGATCAGCCGAAGCCATTATACATGTATATATATATTATACTTTCGGATCTTCATAGATTTGATCATATCATATCCAAAATAGGCGTGATGAAAAATATCATCATATCAATCGTATCGGTATTGTTGTCATTCATCAGAGTTATTATGTAGTAAAAAATACGAGTTCAAGAGCTAAAATATCGACGACGTGGCGGTTTCGGAACAGCAGTGTATATGAAGTACTCTGCGATACGTTGGTTTTTGATGGACGTTCGTTTCTGTTATTCTTTCGCTATGTCGAATAAACCCTCTTCGCGCTGCTCGTGAACGGAGAGGTGGGTGCAGCGCGTTGTGGTAGTGGTGGTGGTAATTGAGGTTGCACTTGTGGTTGTTGTGCTAATGGTCGCAATTTGATAATTGTGATGGCAGTGATTATATCCACTCATGCTTTTACAGATGGTAAGATTATATTGAGTTTCCGGTTCTCCAGACCTGCTGCTTTAATATACCTTCTTATTTCGTCTTTAATTGTTCCTTCCCGTTTTCGTAATAGATGACAAGCTTATATTATACTTCAGGATTTTCATAGGTTGCAAATATTAAGGAGGATTGTTTATCTTCAATATCTAAAGTAGGCGTGATGAAAAAATATAATATCATATCCGAATCGTATTATTGTTTGGGCAGAGTTCATTATATAGTAAAAATTTGATGTTCAAGAGCAAATTCATCGATAACATGATGGTTTCGGAACAATAGTGCATATCTTAGTGTTTGAAGTACTCGGCGATGCGTTGGCGAGCGATGGTTTTTGATGAACGTTCATTTCTTCTCCTATTTATTTGTGCTATTCTTTCGCTGCGCCGGACAGGCCCTCTTCGCGCTGCCCGTGAACGGAGAGGCGTAGCGTGTTGTGGTCGTGGTGGCGAGAATTGAGGCTGCACCTGAGTTGGTAGTTGTGGTGGGAGTGGTCGTATTTGTCTCTGTGTTGATGCTTGTTGCTGTTGCTGTTGTTGTTGTTGGGTTAATAAAAGAAAATTCGGCGGTGGTGAAGACGCGACTATTTGACGTGCTTCTCTGTATGTAGTTCCAAAAGCCACTGCAAGTTCAGTCCACGAAGGATCATAAAAAGCCTCTTCGCGTCTGAGAGATGGATAATTGTTGTTGCTGTTGCTATTGCTATTGTTGCTATTGCTGTTATTAAACGCCATTGCTGGAATGTTGCTTATAGTGCTTATAGTGAAAAATAAAAACAGTTGATTGTTGTTTAGATTTTTTGTTAAAATTCTGACCCCTTTTATGTATAATCATCCCTCCATATAATCACCTCATATATAATCACATCTTAATCACTGTTTTCAAAATCATGCACCAATCAAATCGCAAAATAATTGTGTAATGCAAAAAATTGAAACAAACGTTTTGAAAATAAGTGTTTCTTGCATAATGAATTTACTTTATAAACCAATCTTCCTTTTCATTGGCTAATAATAAATATCAATTAATTGATCGATTATCATGGTAAATTCACTTAAGGGATGTCAGATGATTTCAGTATCAGAATAACATGACCAGACACTTTTTCGTTCTATTTTTGGCATGCCTTATTTTGACCAGTTTTCCAGAATCAAATTTCAACTCGGATAATCTTATAATTATCCGGATTGACTTAAAACACATGACCTATATCTGTAACACATTCAATGATTGGCTGAATTCTGCATAATATCATCGCTATCAAAACAAAAAACAACAAATGCCTGTTGTTTTGTAGTTGGCCCAGCAAATTCTAGCTGGGACCCTCATCAACAAAAAGAAGCGCCAAATACTCACTAACAATACCACCGACGTGAATCAAATTGGAAACTGATAGCGACCTGGAGAAATTCGCAACTCCAGCGAAACGAAAATGGCGGCCAAACTCCTAACATCTTACGCGACCGGTTTCGTACCGAGTTTCTTGAGTGTGAGTATTTGGCGTTTCTTTTCATTTATTGGTGGGCGTCTAGTTTCTTCATTTCGTTGGTGGCGTTACAAATTTCGACTGGTTTCCGGTTTGGTCTCGCACCGGGTCTATACGGTATTGTTGAACACCCATATCTCTGGAACATATGATCAGATCTATAGCCCTATAATTAAGGTGAATATTTTTGCGTTTAGATCAACAAAATCGGGACAATATTGGCGGAGTTATTGGTATTCAAAGTCGGCGCATGAAAAATCGCAAAATGCCGGATGGTCCGTGAGGCAACAATATCTCGCCGATCTGTGTTTAGAATTTTGCAAACTCGGGTTCATTTGATTCGTCTAATCAAGACGAACATTCTTTGTATTCGGACCACAAAAATTGGTTGATATTGTTGACATTTTTCCGAGATCGCTGGTGTTGGCGAGGGTTAGTAAGAGTTCCTCGGGTGTCCAGTTTGTGCTGGTTTCGTCACGACCGGATCCAGTGGGTTCTTTGACGAGTATTTGATGATATTTCAGATGAAACGGGAGTCTTTGGGTGGAAGTGGTCTTGAAAATAATGTGAAACTATCTTGCTTTGTCTGTTGATCAAAATTTTTCGGCCAATTATTATTTAGCACGTGAAGTTTTCTGGATCCGGATCGAATCCAAAATCACATGATTATACCCGGCTTTAGTGTAGACCAAAAAAGGAAATCAAATTACGATATTTGGGGGATCGCTAAAGCAAGGCAAGCCGTTTAGCCATATACCAGCCACATTTGATCACCATAACGTGATCAGTAATTTAACCAATCATAATCATACACGTAATATATAATATTGAAAGTTCTATTTGAAATAGCAATAGTAATAGCTTTTACGTGGTTAAATTGTAAGTATAAGAACGTCCAAAGGATGTTCCAAAAAGATGTTTCTTCTTGCAGTTTCCCTTTCTCTTAACA